TCATAGGCAAATCGAGTCGGTGCGGAATGCTGTTAATAATTCTCAAGTCAGACAGTAATGCCAAATCCCATATGCATATTACTGCTTTTTCTCAAATCTATAATGTAACATCGAGTAATGCTGTCTTCGATAATAACCCTGTAGGAAGCATGAGCTTCAGCTTTTATTACAAATGACAGTACTGGCGCCAAGCTTCTTGTTGATTACATTAGTATGAATTAGCTGGCGAAATTCTTAGTCCAGGCTGCTCACTCAACTCACTTAACATGGAGTTCTACGCGCTGGATGGTGCTGCATTCCCTCTGCAATTCGGACAACTTTACTATTGTTGGGTTGTTTAAGCAAAGGTGCATGTCAAAATCTAAATCCACTTCTATAAACTTGCACAGGCTGAGGTGTTGATGGCCTGACGGTTTGCCACTTTGGCCCATTGCTGAACATGTCATCAAATGTAAATAATTAGTATGGGTGCAGCAAAGTAGGCAAATATTACTACACGAATACAAGCTAAGTTCAATACTGCAATTGCTTGCTCAATTCCTCGCTTTGGTCACGCGGGCGCTGAAAGCTCTACGATAGTGTTTGCGGTGGGTGGCATAACCTCCAGGGCATGCCAGACACCTCCCATCCCATCCATTCTGATGTCGCCAACACTTATTCTCACCTAGTATTGTGTCTCCTCTTGTCTGTAAGGCAGACTTGAGAGACAATACAACTGCAGTAAAGTGTAAGAATAGTAATGCTTAAGTCCAGAGCATTACCCACAATATTTGAGTGCAGACAATATTTGGTATCTGTTTCAGGTTACAGGATCATACCGACTAAGACTGTGGATTTGTCGACAAGTGTGGCAATGCTATGCATTTACGTCGAAGTGCTCTGCTTGGAAACAAAAATCGAGTGATTAGATGTGAGCGAATAAGTGGATTTCCCCAAGCTGATTACTATAGTGGTGTCAATTTGTTGGCATATTTGTGTTTTTGCATATGAATACATAAGAGTGTAGAAATTATCCAGATGGTCAATGACACAGTAAATAATACCACTCACTTGGACAGTGTGGGCTGTGCTGAAGAGCAGTCGTGTGTTCGTGGCGACATTGTTAAACTGCGTCGACAGTAAGAGTCGTGCATGGAATGTGGGCTTACTAGCATGTCACCCAGAAGCTTACATTGCGACAGGTGTGTAGAGCTCCGTCATTACTACAGATATTATTATCTTTAACGTGTTTCCTTATTACTGTGATATTTGGATTATTTGCTTAACTCTTTGGTCTTGCAAGTAAGCAAGTCTCGGCCTCTGTACTTCTGATGGGTGGTATGGTCTCCAGGCCGTGCTAGCAGCCTCCCCTACCAGTCCTTCTGTGCGTCAGCATTACATTTTTGTCCCAGCGCAATGACTTTCTTCGTCTCCAGGATAGACCCAGACGGCTACACAACATTCGGGAGTAATCCATTTATTAGAAGAATGATGATCATCCTGACAATAAGGAGAGAAATGC